ACATTTTTTGAAAAATATTACCAACAATACATTTTTGAAAAAAATATTACCAACAATACATTTTTGAAAAAAAAATATTACCAATACAATACATTTTGAAAAAAAATATTACCAACAATACATTTTTTGAAAAAAATATTACCAACAATACATTTTTTAAAAAAAAAATATTACCAACAATACATTTTTTTCCGCCCTTGAAAAAAATATTACCAACAATACACTTTTGAAAAAAATATTACCAACAATACATTTTTGGAAAAAATATTACCAACAATACACTTTTGAAAAAAATATTACCAACAATACATTTTTGGAAAAAATATTACCAACAATACACTTTTGAAAAAAATATTACCAACAATACATTTTTGGAAAAAATATTACCAACAATACACTTTTGAAAAAAATATTACCAACAATACACTTTTGAAAAAAATATTACCAACAATACACTTTTGAAAAAAATATTACCAGCAATACATTTTTGGAAAAAATATTACCAACAATACACTTTTGAAAAAAATATTACCAACGATACACTTTTGAAAAAAATATTACCAACAATACACTTTTGAAAAAAATATTACCAGCAATACATTTTTGGAAAAAATATTACCAGCAATACATTTTTGGAAAAAATATTACCAGCAATACATTTTTGGAAAAAATATTACCAGCAATACATTTAAAAACAAAAAATATTACCAGCAATACATTTAAAAGCAAAAAAGATTGCCTGCAATACATTTAAAAAAATATTACAAGCAATACATTTAAAAACAAAAATTATTATCAGAAATACATTTAAAAACAAAAAAAATATTGCCTGCCTGCAATAGATTTAAAAAATATTACGAACAATACATTGAAAAACAAAAACAATATTGCCTGGAATACATTTAAAAACAAAAAATATTACGTACAATACATTTTAAAATTATTACCAGCTATTCATTTAAAAAAATATAACTGCAATATATATATTTTTTAAAAATATTACCAGCAATACATTTTTTAAAAAATTACCAGCAATAAAAAGTCTTGTCGGCATTAAATAACCCATTCAGGTGGATATACCATAAAAAAAAAAAAACCAAACGAAACTAAATGCTTTCTAAAATGCAACCGTCATTAGGAATGTTAGTTAACAAAGATGTTTATTACAAAATTAAAGTATGCATATGTTTGTGTTTAGGTATTCTTTACATGTATTTACAAAATCTGTACACACGCACATGTGTAAAAATACACAATGCGAATGAAATATAATCTTATTCTAGAAATATATTTAAATTATAATTAATTTAATTTTTGAAGGTTTCTGCTTTAGTATTTACATATTTTGCAAATTGAAATTATCTAATATAAAAGTTACAATGTTTTTCTAGTATTTTTCATAAATTAATACCGAATTTATTTTTTATGTTTAAATATTTTTTAAGAATAACAACTCACGGAAAGAATGTAAAATTATGAATCATTTTAAAGTTTCTTTCCGTTTAATCTATTTTTAATACAAATTACATTTTTATCAATTTTCATGCTTTTGAAGTAAAGACGTCAAAGCAAGATTTACGCCAAATTTTCGTAGTGCAGCACAAACCACTTGAAAAATGAATGAAATTAAGGAAATGTTAATTTATGTACAGTGCAAGGTTGGTTTTAAAAAATCTGTCTTGGTGAATTCAGGCTTGAAGTTAAAGAAGATCGCGGACGTCCTTCTCATATTGACAACATTGAATTGGCGGCTTTGGTGGAAGCAAATTATCGCACAAATGCTCCGAACATCTGAACCAAATTGAAAAATCCATGAAGCTTGAAAACTGGTGCCATAAGAATTGAACGGAAGCTGGAAAAATTACCTTTATAAAGTCTGTTCTTCGCATCATTTGCGCAACAAAAAAAATCTGGATGAGTGACAGAAGTAATTTCAATTCGGAACTAATTTCAACGCGGAACTAATTCCAACTCAGAACTAATTTCAACTCGGAACTAGTTTCACCTCAGAACTAATTCCAACTCAGAACTAATTTCAACTGTGAACTAATTTCAACTCGGAATTAATTTCAACTCGGAACTAATTTAAACTTGGAACTAATTTCAATTCGGAACTAATTTCAACTCGATTTAAAATGAAAGTTATCAATTTCCGTGAATTCCTAGACAAAATTCAATGAGTTGGTGTTACTTTTTTAATTTTAGCATTAAAAATCCTTAGAAAATAAGATAATTCAGAATTCATCCTATCTGCAACTTTCATTCTTTTTTTGTTGCAAATTAATAAAGTGGTACTTAACTGTTTTATTATTCATAAAAATACTCTCGTTCAAAAGTTCCGAGTTGAAATTAGTTCCGAGTTGAAATTACTTCCGAGTGGAAATTAGTTCCGAGTTGAAATTAGTTCCGAGTTGAAATTACTTCCGAGTTGAAATTAATTCTACAGCCCTCCTGGAGCCTATACAACAACCGACGACATTATGGACAGTGCCCTGACTTGACCAACGATCTACCTGGAATGTTGTGTAGATTTCGCGAACACCACAACGAAATTATCTGTGATGTGAAAATGTTTCACCGCATTCATGTCAATGTGAAACCTGAAACCATTGTCTAAGGCCTTCATTCTCTCTTATCCTTTGGACGCCATTGGCAACAAAGACTTGAAAACACCGAGTCGACGTTCGACTGCAGTACGACTCATCCGCGCGATTTCCTTTCTTGGGCGCCCAATACAAAAATTAGTTACATCGAGAGCAGCCCTTAAATTCTCTTATCGGAAAATTGCAGAATTTATCTGATTCGCCCCACTTTTTAAGGTCTCATTACGATAATCCATAGGATTTTGGTGGCATCGTAGCTGTCTCGGGGCTGTTGCAAGGAGATTAAATATTGATGCCCATAATTCAATCTGCACTGGTCACGTGATAACCGCTATTTTTTTGGGGGGGGGAACAAAACCATAGTTGCTGTACCCTTTCTTAGAAAAGAAGCTTAACATGACTTATACCAACTATGCAGTCTCGCTTTTAAAAAAAAGGGCTTAGTGGGACTTGTACCTACACTCGATTTCTAGTTAGACGGCGCAAAAGGTAGAGGTTGTAGCACTTCGGTCACCACTGAATTTTCATACTAGTCAATATATTTTTTTCTATTAGCTTTTACAACCTGAGGCTTTTGTTGTTGTTTTTTTGTTTTTATTATATTTTTTTTTTTTTTTTTTTTAGCATTTCACGGTTTTTGTAGAGACGGAAATATGTCCGCTTTTCAAGCATCAGTCGATTCTTCGAGTTGTCTCTACTAAAAGAAAATCCTCGGAAGCGGTAACATTGGTGGCAGTTTGCTCATTTGCCCTCGATGTGTAGAGGGACTCAGAACTAATAATAAATAAAAATAATTGTTTGTATTTCCCATACATTTGAAATTCCCATATTCCTAGGGGAGGGGGAATGCAGGGTGGAGACTTTGCTTCTACCTGTCGGGTGGGGTGGTGAGGCTCGGAGAATGGCTGTTCCTGGAGAAGAGAAGCCATTTAATCTTAAGAAATTGTACAGTTCTCGTCTATGTTGAGAAGGAAACTTTGAGATTTGCTTAATGCCGCAAGGTACAAAAACTGACATTTGCACGAGCAAAACCTTGTTGAATTTATAAATTGCTTTGTCATAAGGTGCGCTGAGTAGCAGGAGCTGATGACACCACAGAAAAATATATGCTAAATTCTGAAACACAAACAAGGTGTTTTCAATAACACACACACACACACATATATATATATATATACATATTAAGACATTTTTATACATTCTTTTTATAGATACAAATATTTAAGTAAACGCTCCGTTTTATAATAAACAGTATTAACAACATTTACCGGCCTGAATGTCTTAGAAATTGTCATAGAAAATATTCGTCCTTCGGCAGGAATCGAACCTGTATCCTATACGGAACCGTCGTATAGCCTGGCGTGACTTATACAGAGTGCAGTAGAAATACCTCCTACATATTACTAATCTTCTAAGTGAGAAGTGTGAGAGAAGAAATTGTCAACACTTAATGGTAAGACATTAGTTAGGTGAAGATACCATCTTACCATTATGTGGGAGGGGGATTTCTGTTGTAGCTTGTACTTTTCTCGAGACAAGGCAGATTTTTTCCTCAGTAGGTTGCCATTTCTTTATGTGGTAAACCAGTTGCCATCCAAACCCTGTCTGTCCTGCTATTTACCCATAGCTGTTGGGAAAAGAAGATTCATACCTTTATTAGCACGTAAGTGAATGCAATGGATTCGACTGGAATTCGAACTCGGCTCTCCGATTCCTCAATCCTAGCCACTATCCATTACTTTATCGTGCAGTGTAATAAGTAATCTTAATCGTGGCTCGTGTGACCGTAGCTCTGTTGGAAATAAACGACTCTTAACAGTCTGTGTTAACACCCTGGGTCAAATGTTTTTTTTTGTTTGTTTTTTTAATTTGGGATGTAGACGCCGTGCGGTCAGCCATTGCCACACCTAAAATGCGTCGATCTTTGCAGGCGTTCATATTACATGACCGTTTTGAACCTGTTCAATAGTGTAGTCCTTCTCATCGGACCACCGTTACCAACATTGAAGCACTTCTACAAGGATCCACGGAAATATACCTCTCGAAAGCTCACAATCCGAATTTTTTCAAACGGCTCTAATTGAATAAGATGCTATTTTTATTCACGCTTGCTTACACTGGCCTCTTTCGCCTTATTGAAACTTCTCGCAGTAAGCGTTAATCTCTAAAGCTCAGACGGAATCTGTGCACTCGAAAACTTTAGCAATTTTATCCAAATATCTCCTGTCCTGGTAACAGGCGCATAGTGTACTCAGGTCAAAATCGGTATCGTCTTTCAAATTGCTGCAATTTTATTTTTCGTCGGTGTAGGAATAGTCTGGTATCGTTCGATATCTTGGAGTGCGTAGCAAGAACAGATTCAATAACTGGATAGATAACTAAGCATTTGTTGAAAACATGTCTACGTCCTATTATCGTCGTCATATCCAGCATCGGCCCACTTCATTCCCTCCATCTTTCTCGCTGTTAAACGAAGACATTACAACAAAAGTTCGCTCAAACTGCTTTCATAGGGAATCATTAAAATGTCGCTCTAGTGGCAAGTTAAGATATCACTCGCCATGGCAACATATCACAAAATGCTGGTGATTTGTTTTGGCGCCTGACACTTGAGAGTCACGTTAATGAACAGTACTATCAGTGGAAATAATTGAATCACATCATTACGTTTTATTTAACAGTTTACATACACATGCAAATCCAACATGGCCGCTTATTTATGGTGAACAGCATGTTGCGTTGGAAAAATATTGCCAAATATTTTACAAGCTCGTTAATATAAAGATATATAATATAAAGATATTTGTTTGGCAGTCAAAACAAATACATGCAGTTGAAAACATTATTATAGTCTCGATTTGAGGCTTCATTTGTTCAAAGAAATTCTCAGTAAATTTATCAAAACAAAAAATTCATGCGCTATCAATAAATTAAATTTCAGACTAGTGCATAGAGCTTCTTCCTCAGATTCTATCTATCTATCTATCTATCTATTTATCTATCTATCTATCTATCTCATCCCATCCCTATCTATCTATCTATCTATCTATCTCATTCCATCCCTATCTATGTATCTATCTATCTATCCCAGTCTGTTCATATCTCTCTCTCTCTCTCTCTCTCTCTCTCTCTCTCTCCATCTATCCAGTCTATCATATCTTTCTATCTATCTATCTATCTATCTATCTATCTCATTCCATCCCTATCTATCTATCCCAGTCTGTTCATCTCTCTCTCTCTCTCTCTCTCTCTCAACCTATCCCATTCTGTTCATATTCTATCTATCTATCTATCTATCTATCTATCTATCTATCTATCTATCTATGTATATATATATATATATATATATATATATATATATATATATATATATTTATTTTTTGGATAGATGTGAGTTTTGACCCTTTTCACGCTTTAGCGATCGTCAGACAAATCGCTAAAGCGTAAAACCCAGGGTCACAAACTCACATCTATCCAACCAAATATGTTAGCTCTATCTCTGATATTGAGCGCTTTCTAATAAGTACCATATTTATAATATATAAATAATTATACATATATATTTTATTTATATTTATATACACTTTTCATATATATATATATATATATATATATATATATATATATATATATATATTATTATTATTATTATTATTATTATTATTAAATATAACAGACAATGAATTTCTATTATGTCTGATCAGGAACCGTTCTAATGTTTGCTTTAATTTCGGGTGAAAATAAAGACATTTGCATATTTTTTTATTAATTTGGTCCTAACCTTTCAGCTCACACGAGGCATCTTCAGAGTGGTTTTTACAGACATGAAACAAATATATCCCCCATCAAAGATGATATTTTGTTATTTTGACGTAGAAGATTGCTATACGACGTTAAAGGTCGTTGAATAATAATAATAATAATAATAATAATAATAATAATAGCAGTAATAAGTTTTTTTATATAGTTTCTAAGTTGGATCAAAACTCGCTCTGTGGATGAACAGGATTTTAATGCATATATTATGTTTTCTAATGACGGATGTCGCCAATAATCGCATTGATACTTCTGATTAATTCTATGTGTGATTAATTCTTGTATGTAAATCATATGCTGTTTTTATATATATATATATATTATATATATATATATATATATATATATATATATATATAGAGAGAGAGAGAGAGAGAGAGAGATTCAAACCTCCCAGTTGTAGGTTTTAGTTTATAATATATGATTTTATTCAAAATACTTAAAACTGATTTGGTGGGGTGATATTTTAATATGCAACTCTAGTATTGCTTATAATATATATATATATATATATATATATATATATATATATATATATATATATATATATATAAGTTATGAAGAACTTGGTAATCCGTCAAGGTCTGGTCACTCCTCCTCCCCAATACTTGAGAGAGATATGAAATTAACCCTCCCTATACTCTACCATGTCGCTTTAACTATCCCTCTTACACTCTCTGTTAAATTGCAAAAAACTTACACTACCCATCAATTTTAATTTCATTTTTAAATTCATTTTATTTTGTAAAGTGCTATCTGATGATCCGGCGTCCTTTAAAAGGGCTCTGGTGAAATAAATTATTATAATGGTACCTTAAAATGGTCTGTTTTTCTTTTAAATATATATATATATATATATATATATATATATATATATATATATTACAAACATTACATTTGCTTATTTTGGGCTTAATTCTTTCATATTTACGAATATTTTTTCTGTGTATTACAATCAAATGAGGCCAGAAATACACTGTAAAAATGAAGATCACTTTTATTTCTCAAGTACTTTGCATCTCTTTCTGAGATGGTTTCTTTCTGAGATCATCATCAGGGGATGCAACTGCGTAAGCAAAAGCTATGTGTAGCTATCCATTTAAACGCAAAAACAAAAAATCAGTAATGTATAAATAAATTATTAATGTTTATATGTTATATGTTTTTAATGAGAGTACTTTAAAGTAATTTTAATGAAAGCACTTTAAAGTAATTGAAGAAGATAGACTCTGTTACATGTAAACATGATGCTGTTTTTGCTCCATTCTAATTGGACGCTTTGTTTTTGATAGGCCAGCTGGTTATGACTGCTAGTATATGAAAATAAAAAAAGTAAACATTTCAGCAACGATTGGACAAGTTGTATCAACTTAATGATTTAACATGGAGATACAAATTGCCAATAATCCTCCATGAAAACCCGATAAAACTTTTGATTTAACTTGGTATATATACTTCAAGACACTTGACAGAATTTATTTTTAATCATGCGTTTTCATTACATAAATCGTTATTTTTAGTAGATACTTGTGTTTGAATACATGCCCTTTTAAACAGTACGTACGGTGGAGTAATGGATAGCGGCTTGAATTGAGGAATCGGAGAACCGAGTTCGAATTCCAGTCGAATTCATTACATTCACTCGTGTGCTAATACTCTTTGAAAGGGTATGAATCTTCTTTCCCCCCCCCCCAGCTAAGGGTAAATAGCAGGACAGACTAGGTTCTATAGCCTCTGATGGCAAGTGGTCTACCGCAGAAAGAAAGCTTATTTTGTTTACGATAAATCATTGAAGATAAATGTTAAACCTGATTTCAGTTCTTTTATTTTAATCTAAATATAATCCCTTATATTCGGACTTCGTAATCAATTCCTCATATCCGGAAGGCATTTTTAGTCCGGTTGTCAGGGATTCTACTGTAGAAGATCGATGAAAAGAAAATGTTAAAAATCGATATTTGCGCCTGTGAAGTTTGTCAATGAAAAATAAAACGAACTTGCAGATTTTA